CAAAACGAGGTGGTGTTATACGGCCCATGTCTGTAAGGTGGGGGAACTGATTATGTTTTTAATGGAGTTCAAATATCGTGCATTGGTTTTTGTTGTGGGTGGACCAACAGAAAGTAAAGTGGTGGATTCCGAGCTCTCGCAAGCAGAAGACAATTCATGTAAGAAATGAGGTGGCAAAAGCATCTTTGGCCAATCTGATTCACACAAACTGTAAATGACTTCAAGTGATAAGCAGAGTCTCTCTCGGAAGGAAAGCAAGCTTGTCTTGAAACTGTATGAATGTTTCACTTGAGTGCATTGATTATTTTTTTATTATTATTTTTTTCCTTTGGGAAGAGATTTTTGAGCATCACCTGGAATGTCTCCTGCCCTAGATTTGTGAATCAATTCTGTTCTTCCTAAAGACACTGCAGGTGCAAACTGGAGACGTTGCTGGCAGCCTGCTGCAGCCCAGCCTTCGAGGAAGGTCGCAGGAGAACCTTTTGGTGGCTTGCTTCAACGTGGGGCGAGTCCCAGTTGTACCTTTTTGGTATTTGTATAGGTGCAGTGAAGCTGTTAATTAGGAGTTGGATCATTAGAGCATCTCTGGAGGAGGAATCTTGGTTTGGACCAATAACCTAAACCGCAGCGCTGGCTTTAGCATCACGCTGAGAGCTGGACCTGCTCTCACCTCAGCGCTCCGTGAGGATCGCCTTGGAAAGCTGAAGGAGGAAAAAGGCACGTCCTGCTCTTACTGCTGGAAGGTTTTGCTCAAATCTGCCTTTTTAAGGGGAGACAACCCTTCTGGTCCCCCACCCAGGCCTTGGGGCAGAGTCATCCTGAGCATCTCCAGCTGCAAAATTGTCTCCTCTTCTCTAAAACCAACACCTACTCAAAGCCAAGCAGCTGCTGTGCTTACAGCAGGAAATATTTGTAGCGCCTTGTTCACTTGAGCTATTTGAAGTGATGTTCCTGAGATGTTAATCTGTTTAGAGGGAGGGCCCAAGAGCAGCATGAAACATGTATCTCCCTTGTCTTTCTGCCTTTTCCAATGGGACTTCCAGTTCTGTGTGTGCTTCCTGCTGCCTCCTCCGTTGTGTTTTCGGCGTGCTGCTGCTCGGGCAGATGCAGCTCAGGGACTCGGCGGAGCGGTGGGACGCCTTTCTCCCAGCCCTGAATTCCCAAGAGGAAGAGGGACTGACAGCCTGATACAAAGTAGCATCAAGCACTGGAAGAAAGTGATAATTTCTCTTGCAGTGGTTTTCCTTTTCCTGTTGGCATCAGGTGTAATGGTTTGGGTGAAAGTTTTAGCTGAGCTGAGGTTGGGTGTGGGGGTTTTCAGGCCATGTCGATGCCAAGCGTGCTGTGCTCTGCGTGAGTAATTTGGAAGAGGTCAGAGTTTCCTACAACACGTCCTGTTCATTCCCATGGGAAAATGGCTTGCTTTCTTAGGTTTTGCTTATACCGACTGGCAAAAGAAATAAAGGTTTGGAATTCCCTGGAGTCTTGCCCGGCAGCGTGAAACCCAGCTCTGCGGAGGGGCATCGAGTGTCTGACATCAGGCTCGGTGACAGCAGATGGCTTTGCCGAGCGCCCTGTGCCAGGTCGGCTCGCCGCTCGAGGAGTGGGCTTGGGATGGCGTCAGCGTCGGTAGGAGTCTAAAGCAGGGCTGGAAAAATAGCAGAGGAGTCGGCCCGAATGCTGAATTAGAGAGAACAGCCCCGACTTGTTTCCCAAGCCTCGTTCCTTTTGTTGCATCATGCCAGATATTGGTCGAGAAAGAGATGGGCTGATATAAAATCAGCTTTAAACAGGACTGTTTCCTTTTCCCCCAGTGCTGCGTGCCCCGAGGGCCGGGCAGGGCTGTGGAGGTGGCAAGGCAAGTCGGTGGCTCCACTGGTGCTGCGTGTGCCGAGGCAGGAGCATCCCTTCCCGGGGATCGCAGCGCGTTCTGGCGGAGGGTGAGCGTCGCTCTCGAAATGAGCTGTACTTGGCTGCGAGCAGAGGTGGTGCTCGGGTGGGGGAAACCCCGTCAGCTACAGAAATTAAACTTTAAAAACTTCCCTGAACTTCGTGGCGTCTGAGGTGCCTGAAATGAAAAGGCGGAGGAGCAGCCGTGGCACGGCACGGCCGGCAGCCTCTGTGCAGTGGTGGCATCTAGTGGCTACTGCGGCCAGTGGGGCTGTGGCCCTCTGTCCCCAGGTCCCTCGGACAAGGGGGAAGCCTAGGAAAGTGAGGTGAGCTGCTCGGCTTCCCTGTCAGCTGCAAATGGGGGGAGAGTGTATTGGACTCAGGAAACTGCTGTTGTTACTGGGACTAAACTGGTACGGTGCCAGCCATGAGTCCCTTTGAGCTGTCCTGATGCACTGAGTGTTTATGGAAGAGGGAAGCTGACATTTGCTTCAGAACACTGCAGTTGCATGGTTTTTGTCCTTATCGGTGAGCTTGTAAGTAGAGTTTGCTCAAAAACCTTTCGTGAATTTAGTCCCCAGTCCCAGTTTGGGTGTATGCGAGTTAAAAAGGGCATCGCTTTCCTCCAGCCTGTGTTACCAGGTGCTGCTTAAATGCTGACTGTAGCCTAGAATACAAAGTCACAGCAGCTTTGTGAATTCCTCAGGCCAGTTCCCTGGCAGTACCGCGGGGTGCAGCCCTCAGGAAGGCCTTTACTCTTCACCTCCAGCACCCTGATGCCAAGGAGAGAAGTTCCGCACAAAGACACGGACTGCCCTGAGGCCGGGCAGCGAAACCAGTTGCCTGGCAGCTGTCTGGAAAGGTGAAGACATGGATTCGGTGCTTTCCTTCCTCTGTGCCTTTGCATTCGGTGCTTGACGTCACGTCTGGTGGGCAGCAGGTGCCTGGACAGTCTACCAGAACCGTTCCGTCGTGATGAGCTGGTTTAAATTCCCACCCAAGCGGTGGGCTGCCGTCCCTGCCTGTCCCCTGGGACTGGACATCTGCAGGGGCAAGTACAGCTGTGCACCCCGTGCTTCCACCCTGCCTCTCACATCCCTTCTCTTCCGAGCATAGACATCACTGTGGAGGACTTCTGCTTTGCCTTTTTATTTTCCTGTGCATCTTTGGAGCCAGGAGCAGTTGCAGCAGGAGCTCAGGAAGTTTTCCAGTGCTGTTTTCTGGTGGTTGCCCACTTTGGTCACGGTCTTATTGTTCGACCCAAAGACCGGCGTTGCTTTGATTTAAAGTATGTGGTGTCGTTCCAGGTGGGCATGGAGGGAATGGGTATTTAAAACATTGCTCTGGTGACTGTCATGTGTATTTGTGACAGGGAATGCCTCAACGGTGGCATTTTTTGGAAGCACATGGCCTTTGTGCCTGGAAAACAGTGTCCTTATTCCCCCTCCTTGGTGCTTGCATGCAACTGCTGCATCCAAGCGCCTGGGCTGCTGGCACGGAGGACACGGAGGACTTACTGCTTGCAGGGAGCTCTTGTGCCTACCAAGAAATGGGGAAGTTCGGAGTGGAGTCTCTGGGCATTTTGCATCTGAAACAGGGCAGTGGGCTTAATTAACCCCTTCCCTAACGTGCCAGGGGATGATCCTGGTTCAGGAACTGAGGGGGAGATGCTGGGTGCTCCTTCTTGGTTGTGGAGCAGGCTTGCTCCCACTGCTGCTCGCCGTCCCTGGGGATGGGGGAAATTTATATCCGCCTGAAAATAAATATGGATCACTCACTTGTCTCTGGAGGAAGATAAAATGTAAACTGTATTTTCTGTGATAAAGCACTGGAAATAGTTGGAATTTAAGATAATTATCTTTATTGCTTTTTATAGCACCCTATGAAGGCTGAAATCTAATTTGTTTTTCCCTAACAGGGAACTCCTGCTGATGACTCAGAAAAATCCATTTGCTTTATTGACAAACTTGTCTGTTTGGTTATCGGGGCAGTATCCTTGCAGGAAAAGGGAAATACAGGTCGTCACCCAACGGTGGGTTTTTAATATAGATTCAAAGTTTGATATCTATTGGTGAGAGGGGAAAAAAAAAAGAGTTGATCTAATCAGTGAAGCGACTCTGCTTTATTAAAGATGATTGTAAATTAGTTTCTGCTTCAGTGGGTGTGCAGTAATGGTGCACGGTGCTTTGGTTGAGCAACTTCCATAGGGTTGAAGCTGATTAACTGGAGCTTGCGGAGAAGCTGCTTTTCCTGGGCACCTGGTGCCATTCCCAAACCCAGGCTTTAGGGAAGGAGGTGGGAGGTGCGGTCGTGCCTCCTCCCTCCTGTGCCTGGGGCTCGCGTGGCCGCGCTCGGCTCGGGTTGGATGTGTTGCTTGCAAGTGGAGTTGCTCCTTTTTTAAACTTCTCTGTCTGAATGTGAGGCAGGCTCCCCGTTTTGAACAAACTCCTTGTGGATCTGAAGATGTTGGGCATCCCTCTCGTCTGCACAGCCCGGTGTTGTCGTTGGGAGAGTCTTCAGCTGCTCTGGTGCTATGAAGAGCAGGTGTCAGTGGTGCCTTCCCAGCTGTTGGTAAAGGGCGAATGTGCTCTGCTGCACCTGGGAGCTGCTCAGAAGCAGCAGCACCATCCTCTGGACAGGCTTTCAGTATCACCCACCTCCCAGAACGTCCTTTGGCTGTTTCAGGCAGTGATGTTTGTTGAGAGGTGGTGGGTCTGCAGGCTGACGTGGCACAGATTCTTCTAAATTGTTCAGCTCTGGCTCATCCCCCAAAAGTCTGTAGTTTAACACTGTCACTCGGGTTAATGCTGCAGACCACTGCAGCTGGAGTCCTAACAGGTTTTCTCCAACAGTGGAGAAGTAAGCAATCCAGGGGTTAACTGTATTTTTAGGGAGGAGGGAGAGCGCTCCCCAAGCATAGTCTTTGCCTTGAAGCAGAGGTCTGTTCCTATCAAGTCTCTGTAGCCCTCTGCAAACACACAATACAGCAAGAGGGAGAAAACATCACTTTCTGTAAACATGAGGTGATGGATCTGGGTGGGCAGAGCAGCTTTCTTGTTCGTCTCAAGACCTGTCAGTGTTTGCTCAGCTTTTTATTGACTTCCTTGCAGGAATTGACTACAAGACCACTACGATCTTGCTGGACGGCAGAAGGGTCAAGCTGGAACTCTGGTGAGTGGCTGGGGACAGGGGCCGTGGTGGGATGCTGTCCCGAGCTGCAGAGGGTGCAGAGCATCCCCAGGTGTGTGGTGGAGCTTGCTGGCTGCTCTTACCAGTGAGTTACTCCAGCAAACCAAAGCCCTGTGCGGTGACGGAGCAGCACAAACCGCGTGCTGTTCTTTGCCAGAATGGTCCCATTACAGTGTTTCTCCATTGTACTGGACTGTGTACCCATACAGCTCTCCATCAAGGAGAGGACAGTACTATTTTGGAAGCAATACTGGATTTTCCTGAAATCCTAGGATGAGAAACATAGATAAGAGAATAGGAAAGGAGGAGAAAAAAGTGGATGAAGCCCTTAGTCCCTACAAAAGCTGCTCTGTCTCAATGACTTGAGTAGAAAATTAAAACAGGAGTTGGGAATAGACCTCACAGTTAGTGTCAGAGTATGGTAAACCACTGGAGAGCAGGACTTACTGGAGCGACCTGATGGTGGGATGGAGGTGAGAGAATGCTGCCTTATCTGTCAGCACCGGAGGGAGATCTGGAGTCCTTCTGGTCCAGTTTTGTCTGAGGTTTAACCTGCTGAGAAGCTGACACAGCAATCCTGTAGATGAAAGGAGGGATAGGTAGCCTGCCCTTATTCTGGGTTTCTCTGGGAACTAGCAGGGAATGACACAGGCCCTAAAACATGAAGTTAAATAGCCCCTTTACCAGCACTTGTATCAAGTAACAGGAATATCAGTAATCCGTGGGAACTGTTAAATAGGAATGAACGCCATGCTCTCAGCCTCAGAGCCTGACTCTAGCAGTGTATAGTTTCATGGTTTAGTTGTACCCCTGCTCTCCGAACCTCAATGTCCTCGTTTTTCTTACAAAAGAACAGAAGCAGCCAATTCTTCTGTTCTAGCTTGTGTGTTTATACGTGCTGCTTCTATTCTTTTATCTCTCTTGTAAGATGTCTATTTTAACATTTCAGCCCCAAGTGTGTAGTTACTTACTGCTTCCCTCTTGAAACCTTGTTTTTATACTGTAATTCTTGAGCTGGAGAACTAGCACAAGACCTTCCCTGAAAAGCTGGTAGCATCAGTTTGTGACACCTTACTGTAACCTTTTACCATTGCTTTCCTCATACAACCCAAGATTTGATTGTCGGGGGAGAAGGAAATTTAAGCACAGACTGTTAGACCGATGTCCAGGACCAATAATAGGATCCTTGAGAGCTTTAGATCTGAAAGAACGACTGTCCTGAACTTGAGGTCACTGTAGCTGATGCTGACTCTGGCCGAGGGTTTCATCAGGCTCCTCAGTGGTCATTAATGTGTCTTTTATCCTGGCCCAGTGAATAGATATGACAAACATCATAACATGTCCCTGATTACCCTGACACATTTCGGTATACACTGGTTAAATGAGCGTGCTGGGCTCTGGCTTATGGTCCCAGATGTTCCTGCAGGCACTGAGAGGTGCTGGCAGTGTAGTCAAACTTATTTATACCACGTTAGGTGTTGCAGTCAGGACAAATGACAGTGACAGAATAGCCCCTTATTGTTGCAGCAAGCTGGAAATGCTGTTCCCTAGTCCCGTTCCCGAGCTGTCTGTCGGGTGTGATCGACCAGGGCTGTCAGAGATGTGGGTATAAAGATACTTCCTCTCATTTTTGGTTCAAGCGTGTTTGGAAAAATAAATGAAACTAGACAGCGCAAGACAATTTCTCCTATCTTGAGTGGCTGTGTTCATTTTGTGGTGTGTCAGCTGTTCTGCATGACCAGGAGAGGTCTGCAGTCTCGCAGACTTTCAGCTCCTGTGGGAGAACTAGAGAGAAAATCCTTTGCCCAAGGAAATAAAGTGACTTGCATCCTGGTACATCATAAGGTAGTGCTGGAGCTGAGTGGTTTTGGTTTGTACCTTCTCCGTGGGAAGCGCGATGACAGCCAGGATCTCTGGACTGTGTCTGGCTAACCACAGGTGGTGATGTATCCACTGATTCTTCCCAAAAACACCGTGCAGAGCAGTTTGGCTACCATGTGTGTTCGGAAGATCTGACAAGATCAACACTGATTTCTTTTTATTTATTTATTTAAGTCCAACAGGAGATGTGCAGTATGGGATTCCATTCTCCAGATGTCGTAGCTGTAACTTTACTTTTCTTTGTTGCAGGGACACATCAGGGCAAGGAAGATTTTGCACCATTTTCAGATCCTACTCTAGAGGAGCCCAGGTAAGTGCTGCTCTCAGTGCTTTGATGGGGCACACTTGCTTTTCTTTCATGCTGTAAAAATCTTTCATACCATAGTAAAGAGCTTGGAAGAAGAATGCATCGAGCATCAAAAGGATGGGATCTGTGTCAATGGCAAGAGGCACTGCATGTCATCTTGCTGCCTGATATCCTGGTTTTGTGACATGGTGGGAGAGAGGGCAGTGAATGACAGACTTTCCTAGAGTCCTACAGAAAAGGTCTGTTACAGACTATATTTGGTATTGGTTCCTAGAGAAGGGCTGAGAAGGTGGAGTTATAGAGGACAAGGCGATTCTAGCTCTAGATCTGCCTTAGCTTTAATGTGGGAGCTCGTACTTTCTGAGGTTTCTCGAATTTGGTTAAATATGACATTGGCTTTCCCAGTGGAGTTCTTCCAGTCTGTGTTGCCTTCCAGTCAGTTCCAAAAATAGGGTGGCTCCTACTTGCGTGTTTGATGCAGACTCGAAACTAGAGCAGCTCAATTGGATCATAAAGTATGTTCCTTAAAACATGAGACAGAGCGCTACATTTTGAGCTCCACCTTTGGACCCTGCTCCAGAAGAGCATCTAGATTCCAAACAGCAGAAGAATCTTGTGTTCTTCTGAAAAATTGCAGGTAGTTAATGGTGCTTTTAGTAGTGTGACAGGATCCCTGCAGGATAGTCTTCCTAAGTTAAATGAAATACTGTATTTTTCCTTTTGTTTCCAAATTGGAAAACTTTGGCGAAAATTCCTCCTCTCTTAGCTTCTGACTCTGAAGTGTCTATCTATCAACCTCCTGACTGTGCCAGTATCCTGGTAGCTTCCCAGCCTTTGGGAAACTTTGCCACTTTTATTCAAGCTCTTGCCACTATCGCTCTTGGCTTTTTGCTCCTTATGGCTGTAGACTTTTCCTTTTCCAACTGACAAAATCCATCACGCTCTCTTTCTCTAAGTCTTCCTGCAAATTCACTCGTGCTGTAGACGTGAGAGCGCTTCACCTGGGACGTGCTGTTGGTATCTCCTCCGGTGTCTCGTTCATTCTTGTTTGTGCACATCTCTGGTGGTGTGGATGCTTTGAGGCAGCTCCTTTGAAGCGGAGGCCAATTTCCTGGTGCTTGCAGAAGTGCAAGGCGAGGAGCGTTGGAGCGTGCCTTCTGCGGTGGGAGAGCGTGGGATCTCCCGTTCACATGCTTGGTCCAATGTGTGAGTTTATCTTTAAGCTTCCCTCTGCCCATACTACATTTCAGAACAATCTACAGCTTCAGTCCTGATATAACCTGTGGTCTGGAGACCCATGGGATTTACCTTACCAGTTGTAAGTGAAGAGAATCAGTCAGCGTGGTTTTCTGATGACCACGTAACAGTCAGTCTTTTGGTCTTTGGTCAGTCTTTTTCTGAGCTCTTGCTGTATGAGATGCCAAATCAAACTGGGAATAGAAAACAGCAGGCTTCCCAACTAATGTGTCCAGAAATATAATTTGAGAGCTTTCATCCCTGTCTGCAGCGTGACCTGCTTTTCCAAGCTGCTGTACAGAAGACTTTCTCCCCTTCGTGTAAACTGTGAGCTCCTCGGAGCAAGCGCTGTGTCTCCACGAGGCTGCACCCGGCAGAGCCTGCACCCACATGCCACGACTTGTAGGTGCTGCTGCCATACAGCAAACTGGGGCAGACAGGAAAGGTGAAATGAGGGTGGTGAGGCACTGAACCAGGTTGCCCAGAGACGTTGTGGCTGCCTCATCCCTGCAAGTGTTCAAGGCCAGGTTGGATGAGGCTTTGGGCAACCTGGTGTAGTGGGAGGTGTCCCTGCCCATGGCAGGGTGGTTGGAACTGGATGGTTTTGAAGGTCCCTTCCAACCCAAACCATTCTGTGATTCTGTGACTGTGGATGGAGAGGCAGATACACAGCTGTCTAGAAACTGCCATGGAGCTGTAAGGCCTTGGCACAGTGCATCCTCTGAGGTCCTGCAGCACATTCTGCCTAGACGCTACGTTTGACCCTGGATGCTCTAAGTGTCATGTATCTGGCTGACCTTGAGGAGTTTGAAATTGAAGTTTGCTTTCATCTTCCCTTCTCAAAATGAAGTTCTTGACCTTTCTTGCTTTGGAGGCAACATCTTCCCTTTCTGCTGTATTTATCAGTATTGCTTTAGGAGCTCTCACCTTAGCCTGCAACACTTGCCTTCCCCATCGTATCTGCTTACCCCTCCCAAGGAGTTGGTCTGAGATGTTCACAATAAACCTCACCAGGCAGTCAGAGGGACCTTTAATGTGAATGTGTTAGTGCTCAGTGCTGGGGTATGGAGCTTCCGTGCACAGCAAGGTGTAGCTTACGCCTGTTCCTCAAAGCCTGCATTCTGCTTGTGCAACGCATGCCTTTGCCAAAGTGCTGTTGCGATACCTGAATCCTGACCTGCCAAAATAGTCAACCCTTACCCTTAAAAACAGCAAAAGAGCCCTGAACAGCCAGCCTGCCCAGCAGGAGGAGGAGGAGTTCCCAAGCCAAGTATCGCCACTGCCCTCTGAAAGCGTTCATGAGATGAGCACAGTGAACAGTGGGTGCCTCTTGAAGACTAATGACTGGAGTCCTTGTGCTGTCTTCTCCAGGTGGCTTGGAGTAAAACTTAGGTTGGTTTCAGCATCAAGTGATGGGCTCCCAT